TAATTTTAAGGGATGAAATGACGATTTCTCCAGTCATGTTGCTGGATCAGTTTCAGTGACAATGGCTGATTCCCCTTCATGCTCAGAACTTCTTATCCAGAATGTAATTTCTTATGAAGAAGAAACAGGCACTTATTGGCTAATTGACCTCTTGGGATATTCTAATGTTGTAGTGGAGTAATCTTTTAAAAACATCACTGAGAATTTCAAGTGAAGACCAAACAATTTATGATAGATAATTAGAGAAATTACTCAAAGGGGCCCCACACCCTCTCCAGGATGTCCCTGGATAGTGAATTTGTTCAGCTTCAATCCCAAAATCAAAATCAAACAAAGTAGAAGAGTAGAAAAAATATTTATTTTTATTTGAAACAGTTGTATTTTAACTGAGATGATATTGTAATCTTAACCTTCAAAGTCCTAAAGAGCTTGAGATCAAGATTCATGAAGGAATATCTTATTCTGATCTAAGCTCCCACCCCATGGATGGTGCTCTTTCTATCTAACCCACTTAGCTTGGTCACCCAAGATTCCCTTGGCTCAGTGTGTGTTTATTTCAAGAGCACTGTCACTCTTTTCATGCTTGCCTTTCTCTTTATCACAAAAATATAATATTTTTAACATTTAGATGAAGTTAAATTTCTGTGGCCACAATGTCATTGAGCATTTCTTTTGTGATTTCATTCTAACGATGAACCTGGCCTGTAACGATGCACATCAGGTAAAACCTATCCCGTTCTCACCTCTATTTGCCCCCTGCCACCATTCGTTCTGACTATGACATCAAATGCATACATAATGTCTGCCATTCTTAGCATCCTGTCCACCACAGGCCTTCTCTACCTGCTCTTCCCATCAGCATCTCAGTCAAGGGTCTTTTAAATAAAGAAATAAAACATATACTTCAAAGGCATTTTCTTATTATTCCTGTATACACGTATGCCCCAAAGGTAACTGGAAGCATAGCAAAATGCATACGGGAGAGGAGTAACTAAGGTTGCAATCCTATGAACCAGGAGTGGGGAGCAATTGACCAGTGGGCCGGATGCAATCTCCAGAAGTTTCTCATTTGGCCTAAAGTGCCTCCCCACACCCTGAAAGAATCAAGTTTTTGACTACAGTGGTACCTTGGGTTAAGAACTTAATTCGTTCTGGAGGTCTGTTCTTAGCCTGAAGCACCACTTTAGCTAATGGGGCCTCCTCCTGCCGCTGTGCCGCCACTGCATGATTTCTGTTCTCATCCTGAAGAAAAGTTCTTAACCCAAGGTAATATTTCTGGGTTAGCGGAGTCTGTAACCTGAAGCATATATAACCTGAAGTGTGTGTAACCTGAGGTACCACTGTATACATAAACACTAGGCGAGCCAGTGTGGTGTAGTGGTTAAGAGCAGTAGTCTCATAATCTGGGGAACCAGGTTCGCATCTCCGCTCCTCCACATGCAGCTGCTGGGTGACCTTGGGCCAGTCATACTTCCCTGAAGTCTCTCAGCCCCACTCACCTCACAGAGTGTTTGTTGTGGGGGAGGAAAGGAAAGGAGAATGTTAGCCGCTTTGAGACTCCTTAAAGGGAGTGAAAGGTGGGATATCAAAGCCAAACTCTTCTTCTTCTTCTTCTTCTTCTTCTTCTTCTTCTTCTTCTTCTTCTTCTTCTGCTTCCCTCAAGCCTAATTGCAGGAGTGGGACTTTTTACAAAGTTCCAACTGGGAAGGGCACTGGGCACTGCAGCTCTCCAAACCACAATTTGACTTGACAAAAAGCTTGCTACTGAAGTCTTGAGCCTATGGTTGGAGGCAATATTCTGAAGAAAGTAGCTGGGGAGAAGAGGGTTATTGTATGTGAGCATTTCTGTGATGTGGTCGTATCCATTTAAATTAAGGGACCTAAATTGGTCATGTCCATTATTTACTATGGGTTCATTCTGAGCACAACTAGCATATAGTATATCCCACAGAGCATGTGTATCTGTATCAATGTTCTATCTGAGTCATCAACAGGCTCATCTCAGCTATCTGCCAATCACCCATTCCCACCACCCTTCTGAGTAATACCCCTCCCCACCTTCCCACTATATAGAAGGATCTGGCAACTTCTGTTTCAGTGTATCCGAAGAAGTGTGCATGCACACGAAAGCTCATACCAAGAACTAACTTAGTTGGTCTTTAAGGTGCTACTGGAAGGAATTTTTTTGTTTTGACTATCTGAGTGTGTGATTTATATGAGGGTGGCTATACCCATCTAGTCTTGCCTGAATTTGTCTTGGCCATTCAAGTAATACATGAAAGGGGCTTGTGACCAAGAAGGGGGGGCAGAACTTTAACCAGCTGTGCAAGAAGTGTGTACATTGTATCTGTGTAAAACAGGGAGAGGGGTATGTAACTAGTAAGAAGAATATATGCCAGAGTCATGTGGCATGTTGATTTATTATATGGGGAATATGGTGTGTTAGACACAGGGAAGAATTATTATTGTTATTATTTATACTTTTTGTTTTATTAATATTATTATGGGTTAAATTTCTATACAGCCCTTCATCTGAGGGTTATAGGGCAGTTTACAATATAAAAACACAAAAATACATAACATAGTTAGAAACCAAAACAAGAACATCCACCCACACGGTTTAAAAGGCCATAAATTGTTAAATTTGCCAAAGGTCTGGGAGAAGAGGAATAAAAATATTTATTTATTTATTTATACATACATACATACATACATACCCCACCCATCTGGCTGGGTTTCCCCAGCCACTCTGAGCTGTTCACAACAGGATATTAAAAACACGATAAAACATCAAACATTAAAAACTTCCCTAAACAAGGCTGCCTTCAGATGTCTTTTAAAAGTCAGGTAGTTGTTTATTTCCTTGACATCCGATGGGAGGGCATTCCACAGGGTGGGCACCACTACCAAGAAGGCCCTCTGCCTGGTTCCCTGAAACCTCACTTCTTGCAGTGAGGGAACCGCCAAAACGCCCTCGGAGCTGGACCTCAGTGTCCGGGCTGAATGATGTGGGTGGAGATGCTCCTTCAGGTACACTGGGCAGAGGTCATCCAGGGCTTTAAAGGTCAGTACCAACACTTTGAATTGTGATCAGAAACGTACTGGGAGCCAATGTAGGTCTTTCAGTTATATGGTCTCGGTGGCCACTCCCAGTCACCAGTCTAGCTGCCAGGTTGTGAATGTTTTTGCCTGGTTCCTAAACATATGTTATGAAGGCGCCAGGGGAGCCTCCCTGGGGAGAGCATCCCGCAAGAAGGGATCCACTGCAGAAGAGGCACTTTCTTGTGTTGCTGACCTCTCAAGCCACACGAAGAAGGAACTCACCTGATGATTGCAGAGTCTGGGTTTTATACAAAATAGTCTTAAAGTGACTTAAGAAGACAAAATGCAAACAAGTAAAACCATTAAAAAGCCATAAAATTAAAAATTAATGTACAATGCAAAATGTTCTAGATGGCCATCCAAGGATACAGCAAGGAGATATCCTATCCCACCAGATGAACACCACAGTAGAGGCTAGTTTCACTACCAAAGGCCTGGGTAAAAGTACGTATCTTAGCCTGGCACCTAAAAAACACCAATGATGGAACCAGATGCACTTCCCTGGCCAGAATATTCCACAAACGGGGGTCCACTACTGAAAAGGCCTGTAATCACATGGCCAGCCACTGCATGAAACATACAACAAATGTGACAGAGTAATGTGATTCAGGACTGAGTGATGATAATATTTGTAGGGATCAGATGGGATTACCATGAGGAATTATAAAATATACATCAAGCCATTGTGTCCACAATGAAAGCATTGTCTTGACTGGGTTTGATATATTGACGATAGTTTCTGATTAAATCCCATAAGATTCTACATTCATGCCCTTTCCATGCCCTTTTGCCTCTACTGTCCATCTCTCTTGCCTGAAAATCATGTACACAGCCCATTTGCTTTGCCAGGCAGGCATCCTGGGCCATAAAGATAGTGGGCAAGCTTCTTGGAAGTAGCTTTCTGATATGGTAATCTTAGGATGTTAATCTTAGGGCCAGGAAACAGATCTCACATGAAGGTGATAATGATCATTGTCCTCCTGGCCATCCTTCTTATCATATGTATTGCTTGTTTATCACCTCCGGGGTTGCCAAATGCTCTTCTTTGTAGTTCTGTTCTTTGTTTACCCTGTGCTTAATTAGTTTTAGTAGTTTAACTTGTCCCCATGTGGGTGTGCTTAATTAGTTTTAGTAGTTTAACTTGTCCCCATGTGGGTTTGTGAAAATGCTCAGAAGAAATCTGATTGGTTCTTACGAACACTCTGTAAAAAGCTTTTTTGTGAATAAAACTACCTGGGCCAGGGGCTGCAGATGGACAAGCACAGAGAGACGATTATACGCACCCTTCCCAGAGTCTTGCTGGTTCAAGCCTCTGTGTGTATTCTTATTAATCAGAGTTCAATCCTTCCTTTACTTTGCGAATGCTACAAATATTAAAAGAGGGATAGGTGGTAAGTGTGACTAAGTGTGAACATTAGGAGAAGGTATTGCAAAAAGAAAGTTGATTTGTTATATGTGATTTATGACATCCATCTCTGAAATGTAGAGGGTACTGGAAGGAGTATCCCAGGTGTTCAATACAGCCAAAACAAAAGCATCAAATAATAAAATCCTTTTAAATGTTTTGATTTCTTGAAGAAGAAGCCCTTTCATTCCTCATTACAATTCATCTTGAAACAAACACTGACATTCAAAATAATTGAACTGGAAAGGACCAAGGAAAGTTAAGTAACTTAGAAGTTACGTATGTACAAGAAAAAATTCCAATTACCAGTTTTCATCTATATTAATTCATATATTGTGGTTCCTCTGGAAAGCTCCAAATATGATATATGAGATTCACTATTAATCTCCAATCCAGATGGTACCCTGCTGTATCCCTCCTTAGCTATACAGGGAGAATATTCCAAGTGATATTAGAATTCAACATGATCAAGCCTCCTTGTTTAGAAACACCATCATAAGATCTGAAAACAAGAGGTCAATGCACTCTTATGTGAATTACAAAATTGGCTACCTGACTTTCTCAGGGCTTCTTTCACTTCTTTGTTCCTCAGGCTGTATATGAGGGGATTGACCAAAGGTGTCAAGATGGTGTAAAAAACAGAGAACACTTTGTTCAGTTCTTTCAGTTCATTGGTATCTGGCAAAACATACACAATGGTTAGGGTGCCGTAGAAAATGGTCACCACAATGAGGTGAGCAGAGCAGGTAGAGAAGGTCTTTTGCCTTCCTGTGGCGGAGGGGATTCGAAGAATGGCAGCAATGATATACACATATGATGTTACGGTCAGAATGAATGGTGGCAGGGTAGCAAAAGAAGCCAGAATGGCTGATACCAGTTTAACTTGTTGTGCGCCACTGCAGGCCAGATTAATCAATGGAGTGAAATCACAAAAGAAATGCTCGATGACATTGTGGCCACAAAAGGATAACTGTGATATAAAGAGAAATGAGGCTGTGTTTATCACAAAGCTGCCAATCCAAGATCCAGCAACAAGCCGAAGGCAAATCTTGAGATTCATAAGTGTGGAGTAGTACAGGGGTCGGCAAATTGCCAAGTAGCGATCATAAGACATTGCTGCCAGGAGATAGCATTCTACAGCCGCAAAAACCGCAAAAGCCCATAACTGAAGAAAACAGCTATAAATAGACACAGCTTGGTTCTGAGTTAAGAAACTGGCCAGCATTCTAGGGAGGATGGTTGAGCTGTAACAAATCTCCAAGCAAGACAAATTGCCCAAGAAGAAATACATGGGGGTATGGAGGTGCTGAACTCTCACAACTAGAACAACAATGATCAGGTTCCCAACTATAGTCATGATGTAAATAACTAGAAACACCACAAAGAGAGGAATTTGCAGATCACGTAGGTCTCCAAAGCCATGAAGGGTGAATTCTGTAATGATGGTTTCATTTCTCTCCTCTGGTTTCTGCATCCTTTCCATCAGCTTAGCAGGAGAAATGCAATCTGTTTGATTAGCATTACATAAGAAGCATTACACGAGAAGCAGGCAAACAGGAAGGAGTGCACTCTGATTCGATAAAAGAATTGGGCAGCTTCTGGAGGAGTCAGGAGTTAATGTTCCATAAGGCAATACACAAACAGTTCATATCAACCCTGCAACAACAAACCCTGAAAATTTGCCACCTCTTTCAGAGTCTGAGCACAAGAGAAAGTATATTCCGTTTGTTAACTCACCTTCTGCAAATATCAGTAGACAAATAGTTTCCTATCCACTTAGGAGATGATAGGTTGAAGGTGATAAATGAAAACAGGTATCCAGGAAAATATATCACAATATGCTCATATGGTAAGGTGTGTTCTGTGAGTAAAAACACAAAGCTGTATGTGGTCTGTTTTGATTTTTCAAAGTCTTATTCTTTAAGCATAGATATGATGTTTCTTCATACATAGTCCTCTCAGGGATCAGTGCAGTGACAGTAAGTACATGACTCTCTCCTAACACCTTATATCGGGCATCAGAAGAATGTGAGAAGCAGCAGGCATTCATGTCCTAATTAATGTCTTAGGAAATGTTTGAGGGAATCTATGTTTCTGAGTAAGTAATAAAAAGTATTGCTTGTAAATCTCTTTGGGGAATGTCTAAGTAGACAAAACAAAGGGTTTCAAGGGAAGGCAAAAGTGTTTGACTACCAGAATTTCCCATGGGATTCCCACACCCTCCCTAGACAGCCACTGAATTTCAGCTGAAGTGAAATTCATGTGCGACCTCCTAAAAGCCGAAGTCAACAAGAGTAGGGTGTGTGGATGGGTATGCACATGTGCCTGCAATGTCCCCTGCATGCTGCACACCCAGTGTACCAACACAGAATGGGAATGTCTGCAGGCATTTTCTAAGTCCATTTTAGTGAATATGTTTAGACACCGCTGTGCAGTAAGGAAACATTCAAAGTAAGATGGTCAGTATGGAGCACAAAGGGAAGCCATGGTTACTATTCCCTATTCAGGCATAGCATCTGAACATGATTAGTAAGTTGTATCAAACCCATTCACAATATTAATCATAATAAGAAGCACAAGAAAGCCAGAAAAACATGCAAATTACCGGGAGGGGGAGAGACTTCAAGAGAAACTGTGTGGATTTAAAAGTCAAAATAATAGGGCTGTGCACCTCCCCTCCACACCATCAACCCTCCCTGGGTCAACTTGGGGACCACCTGCTCCACCTTGAGTCCAGTCCCAAAGTAGTTTGGAGGGTGGTGTTTATGTTTAATGAATGCCTGATGCCTAATTAAACATACAGAAGAGAGGGGGAGGGAGAAGTAGATGTTGCTCTCCACCCCACTCCCAACTGACAGCAGGGTGGCAAGCTCAATTTTGCAGGGGGCTCTTTGGAAATGGCTTCTTTGCAGAGGCAAGGAAAGAAGAGGGTGTGTGTACATTAAGCCTGCAACTTACGTGAGGGTTCAGTTCCCAGGAACAGCACACAGGCACAAAAACACATAAAACCAGGAAGGCTCAGATCACCTCCTCTTCACTCAGATGACCTCTGCTTGTTCTCCATGCTCTTGCTAGGTCCTATCTCCCTCTCCAACTCTCTGACAATACCCGAATACTCTCCCAGGGTGAGTCCAATGGCTGATGGGATTACCAACGGTTGTTTCCCACTCCTCCACTTCCTTTTGACATTTTTTCTACAACATGTTTTTATTTCCCCTGAATTTTCCAGTTTGTTATTTTTATTATTACAGTGGTACCTTGGTTCCCAAATGACTTGGTTCTCAAACACTTTGGTTCTCAAACTCCAAAAACCCGGAAGTGACTGTTCTGGTTTTCTAATGATTTTTGGAAGCCAAACGTCCGATGCAGTTGTCAGCTATTGTTTCTGGGAAGCCTGCACTAATCAGGAGCTGTACCTTGGTTCTCGAACATTTTGGAAGTCAAATGGACTTCTGGAATGGATTAAGTTTGACGCTTTTGTTTTTGCTATTCATTTTGCGTTTTTGAGGCTTTTTCGGTTAATTTGCTTTTGTGACTGTGTGGAACCCAGTTTGGCTACTGATTGATTGATTGATTGTATGACTGCGGAAATGGATAAAAGCCCCCCATCCAAACTGACTATCATCAGTGCAGGGAAGAAAAAATAAATAAATTTTCATTTTTATCATCTACAATACTGTCTTATTTATTTTATAGTACAGTACATTGATTATTGCTTTCATTTTATGGATCAATGGTCTTGTTAGACAGTACAATTCATGTTAAACTGCTGTTTTAGGGGTTGTTTTTAAAAGTCTGGAACGGATAATTTTTTTTGCATTAGTTTCTATGGGAAAGCACACCTTGGTTTTGGAATGCTTTTCGTTTTGGAACGGACTTCCACAACAGATTAAGTTTGACAACCAAGGTACCACTGCATTTTATTATAAGGTAGGGTTGCCATATGTCCAAGAAATCCCAGACATGTCCTCTTTTGGGGGCGAACATGCCCATCCAGGAGGATTTTTACCATTTTAAGGAAATGTCTGGGGTTTGGGGAGAGGTTAAATTTCTGTGTGTGGGTGTGCCTGTGGGTGGGTGGTTCGGGTTCAGGTATGGGCTCTGGTGTGGGCAGCATGGGCTCAGCAGAGAAGCTCAGCATATTTTTTGCAATCGCGGGAATAAAAGCTCAACAACTTCTTTTGTCTGGATTTTTGCCTCTGGAAATAAACCTTAATGTAAGGTTGGGATCACATAAGAAATGTGAGTAAAGTTGAAAGCTTAGTGTACAAACCTCTGACTTCTGTGTGGCTGGAATGTATTCTAAATACATGAGCCGCATCTATTGATCTGTCCACTTTTGTCTCTGTCTAGCTCCTTCCACACATTCACACAGAGAGAGCTCCTAATACAAAAGTGAGGATGAGGTGCAGCTCTTAGCCCTTTGGCAGTGTGGCCATACTACCAGCACTTGCCTTTCAAAGCCTTGTACTTACCAATAAAATCTGACAACATATGAAAGAACATTTAGGTGCTACCTTTATTAGATTCATTACATTCTACATATTACATTCATTACAGTGATCTTATTTTGTTTCTTCGTTTTATTCATACTTTGACTGGATGTCTCATCTTTCAGAGAGGGCTTATTTTCTTGAGAAGCTGTGGATTCCAGTGAGATTGTTTTCCTTTGCAAAACTTTCCTTGTATATCACATATTTATGATAGCTTTAATTGGGGGTGGAAGAACATGCATGTTGCAGGCAGGTTCAATCTCTGACAGTTCCAGGAAGGGCTGGGAGAGATCCTGGTCTGAAATCTTGGACAGCCAGTGCCAGTCAGTATAGCCAACACTGAGCAAAAATGGACCAATGATTTGACACAGAATTAGGCAGCTCCCTATGTGCTCTTCTCCAATAGAAATCAATGGGACAAGTTATCTGCAACTTCAGTGGGACTGAAGTAACTTAATCTGAATCTTGCCTTATACTTATCACTCTTAGTACTACACCATGTAGAAAGCTGTGTAATATACAGAACAATTAAAAGCACCTCATAAGCAAAAAATAGGAGAGAGAGAGTTCCTTTGGACCATAGTCATTCTATTTAATCCATATAACACATTATCCAGAGAGTGTTATATCTACAATGATATGCAATATGAACTTGTATGGTTGACAGTATTATACATGTTATTTTTTTATCATAATCATTGTTATATTTTTCATTATTAGTACTGTACCATCTAGACCAGGCATGTTGAACCTGTGCCCTCCAGATGTTGTTGGACTCCAACAACATCTCTGATCAGCCTCAGCTTGCATGACCAATGTTCAGATATGCTGGAAGTTGCGGTCCAAACAACATCTGGAGGGTCAAAGTTCCACATTCTTGAAGCAGAGAATCACCTATGTATAAACAGACAATGCTTGAAACACACATTCAAAAAGGAAAGGAATTCTTCCTGAGCATATATTTTATATTTAATGCAGACATTACAGTTTTGCACCCAACCAATACCCAAAAGTGATTTTATGTTCTCCAAACAAACAAAATCTCATGAGGAGAGCCAGCTCTTTGAGGCTCTTCACAAGTTAGAAGGCCTGTAAAAATGTTATAACATTTGATTAAGGCCTTTGAGGAGAACCCATAATATCCTTGATCTCACCCAGAATCTTTTGATGATTATTTGCTACATTCATCTTCGCTGCAGTGAGTAGCTTTTCAATTTCTTCATCCGAATACTTCAACTTGAAGGTTTTAAACGTTGAAGCGTATTCATCAATTTTACCTGAAAAACAGTCACATTGGAGGGTGACTATAAAGTAACCCATTACTGATGAGTTTAAGAATATTGCATTTATTGGGGGGAGGAATTAATACAAAACAAGATAAAAGTAATATCTAGGATGTATGGAACCTTACTAGAATGGGAGGTGAAAGGCGAACAAGTAAAGAAAGTGATGGTTAAATGGGCAATAGATATAGGTAAACCTATTCAATTAGCAGCATGGGAAAAATTGTGGAAAGAGAACTGGAGATTCACGGCATGTGAGGCAATAAAAGAAAATTATTTAATGTTCTACCGATGGTATATGACACCTTACAAACTATCTAAAATGTATAGAACAAAATCGAAAATGTGTTGGAGGTGCAAACAAGCAGAGGGCACACTGCTGCATATGTGGTGCACTTGTGATACAGTTAGAAGTTTTTGGGATATGGTTTATGAAGAGCTGAAGAAAATATTCAAACAAATCTTTTTAAAAAAACAGAAGCCTTTCTATTGGGAATATTAGAGTCAGATATTGCAAGGGAAAATAAGAGAATATTTGACAGCTGCAGCAAGAATTCTAATTGCCAAAAACTGAAAACATGAGACAATCCCAACAAAAAAAGAGTGGCAAGATAAGTTATTTGAGTATTTAGAACTGGCTAAATTGACAGAGGCAATTAGAGATTAATCCAAACAAAAATTTCAGAAAGAATAGGGAA